GCGAGGGAAAAAAACCAAACCCCACCCAGTAATGTACATAGTTTTTAGCTTTTTTTTGAAAAAGCAAGTGGTTGGACCTTTTTTCAGGCAGCAAATTCAATGCCATTTTGCTGTGGTGGAGTTATTGTATCTTCCTGCTGTGTTTCCTTGGGTGTCTTGGTTTTGCAGACGTGGAAGTGGAGAAGTTTTAAGCTGAAAGTCTTATTTGACCCTGTAATCTTAATATAATTTAATGATCAGCAGGACTCTCCTTTGTCCCTGCATAAAGTGAGGAGCCTCCTGACTCCACACACTGGGTTTGATGCAAGGGACACCTTTCCATTCATTTGTTCCTCGTGACTGAGTATCATGAACATCAGAGCTGTTAATACACCATGCCTGGTGTAATCCAGGCTTTTTCTTCCCTCAGTAGTTTTTGCTCAGATTTTTCCATCAGTGTGCCCAAACAACGGTGGAAGAGCCTCTTCCTTCTGTGAGTGAAGGAGGATTTGGCCTCTGCTTCTTCAGTTTTGGAGAGTCCCAGGTTTGTTTGTTATTTGTATCTACAAGTAAAAACCATAGAAATATATAAATAAAACCCAGGATAGCTACATTCCTTATGAACAGGATTATCTTCCATAATTTTAGCTGGCTAACTTTCAGACATTTGGGCTGGGCTGTGTGATGGTGGCATCAGAGAAATGCTGCCTGCTCTGCCCTGGCATGTAGCTGTGGGAGCTCTTGGTTGTTGGGAGAAGGCACTGCAGGATCTGCCTTTAAACACCTTTGTGTGTAACCACAGGTCCATCAATAAATCTCTTGTGCTGGGATTGGTTTTCACGGGCTTTACTGAGAAACTCAGCTTTCGGGAAGATAAAACGCTTCATTTATAGCCATGTTACTGAATTTTGGTAACCCCTAAAAGTAAAACTCTTAAATGAATCACTTAATGAGGGCCATGGGAGAGAGAAAATTTTATGGTGGAGAGATTTAATCTGGATTTACAAGTAGCTCAGCTTTTACAGTCTGTATTTTTTAAACTATTACCAGGAATCATGGTCTAACTCAATCCAGATGCGCACTAAAAACGCCAGAGGAGGAAAATCCTATTAAAAAGGAATGTGCTGGCATGTTTCAAGGGTCCAGGCCATGTTTCAGTGATTCACTTCAGGGTGAACCCCATGCACTGAGCCAGCAGCGAGGGGCAGCTTTGGTGTGCACGTTGAGGAGCGGGGTGGATGTGCCTGGATGGGGGTGTTGGGACTCCCCAGCTCTGTCCCGGTCTGGAGCAGGGGGCTGCCGGCGGTGCAGGCAGGCAGCAGGTGGGCAGGTGGCTGGAGACAAACCCAGGGCCACGTGCAGGAAGGCTGTTGCTGGGCCTGAGCCGGGGGGCTGAAGCCGCTCCCCGAAACCACAGCGCCGGGCGAGTTGCCACGCGGGGCTCTCGGGGCGGGCGCCCGCAGCACGGCCTCCCTCGCCGGCCCCCGGGCTTCCTCTCCTTCGGCTCGTAGGGCTGCTGCTGGGGTCTTGCTAGAGGGTTTTTTCTCACCTGCTTGTCAGCAGCAGTTGGTCTGAATGACCTTTTCTTTTCTCTCCCCCCCCCCCCGTATTTTAAAAAGTAAAAGGCCGCAGAGGTGCTGGCGGAGCTGCTTTAGAGGTGTGAGTGCGGAGCGGGATGATGCCAGCCTGGGGTCCAGATATGGGCGTGCAGGGACCTAAAGCGGCAGGAGAGAGTGCCTGGGCCAGGGCACAGGGGAGAGCAGGGTTGCATTGCTGGTTGGGAGCAGAGAAGAGGAGGGGAGCAGAAGTCCGGGCTTTGGAAGGAGGAGGTGCTGGGAAGAAACTTCTCAGCAGCAGAAGCACAGCTTGTGAAGGAATTCCAAATGTACTGGCAGGCAACTGGGATTGAGAAGGGCTGGCAACCTGGTCATGAAATGCAGCTCCACTTATGGACTCCATCTCCTTTCCTGCCATCTCACATACCACAGCTCTGCATATCCCTACGCAGGCTGTGTCAGCTCCTTGTACAAAGCTTTCCAGAGCTTCTCCTGCACAGACTCCTAAAAAAAAAAAAGTAATTACCAAAGGCTGTAAGTTGCATAAGTTTATTTCTGTTTGTCCTTAACATCCACGTGGTCTCCCAGTAAATGTCCTCCCTGCCATGCAAGGGGCACTATAACTGTGCAGCTCCTTGCAGAGGAGCACGTGGTGAGCAAGAGTAAATGCAAACTTTCTAATTGTTATTCCTTCCCCCTTGTCCAAGAGACCTCATCTTTGAGCCCTTGTGTATTTGTGCACCTGGGCATCCACTTGTGCCTCAGCTGCTTTCAGATATCTGGAGACAGAGATGCTGTTTGGCTGAGGTGCTTTTAAGCAGTAAGTTTGTCATCATTTCCCATGCAAGGTTCCCATTCTTTGCCAGCCTGTGACCTGACATTAGCCCTGTTTCGTGCCTGTATTTAGATATCTCACTTTATAACCCTTCTGCATTTCACTGGACTGCTGAAATTTGGACTGGTGAAACACTGATACGATACTATTGGGAAAATGCTGTGCAACTTCCAGTAGGCACTGGGTAATCTGTGAGGTTTAAAAAGTGGGAATTATCAGTGAAACGTTTATGATTTTTGCTTTGCTCTGTGTGAGGCATCTGAGTGTGACTGCTCCCTCCAGCCTGGCAGCTTTGGCTCTGCCCAGCTCCAATCCCTTGCAGTGCTGCAGCCTTGGCCTCAGCCCCTCAAGCCACAGCTCAGGGCAGATGAGAGACAGAACATACATTTTGGTGGTGCCTAAGGGACCTGTTTGTGCATGTTGTGCAAATACTGGATAAGCAGTAGCCTCTCCTCTAGCTATTTAAAAACCCAAACTGGTCCTGTTTATGTGAATGGATGTTCACTGCTTTAACTGCTCTGTGTTCACTGTGCTTCCTATCTCTCTTAGACCTTTGTTTCAACAGGCTCTGTATCTTCTGTCTTTTTCTCTCTCGCTTTCTACTCCAGAAGCCTGTTGCAAAGTTTATTATTTAGAAAGTGCTCTGTACTTTTCTTTCTTCTTTTTTTTTTTTTAAAGAATGCAGAGATTAAACATATTAAGGAAAGAAACGACACAAACTAACAGACACGATGCGGGGAAGTAGCTTCAAGTTGTGCCAGGGAAGGTTCAGATGGGATATTAGGAAAAATTTTTTCACTGAAAGGGTGGTTAAGCATTGGAACAGGTTCCCAAGGGAGGAGGAACCATCCCTGGAAGTGTTCTGGACACATCCAGCTCAAGGCCAGGGCACGCTGGGCAGACTGTTGCACTACGGAAAAGCAGTTGAATTACTGCTAGAAACAAATTGCCTCTGGGTGCTGCAGAGCTCTATTCCCTAGTGCTGCGTTTTACCTACCAAGTCAAATGTGATTCAGGCTGATTTTGTGTTGAACCAACTCTGGTGTAAAATATTGCCCTGTGAAGAAAAACTCTGGGAAGTTCATCTCAGCTTGTTTGTTGGTTTAATATACAATGTTGGGCAAATAACTTAATTTCTCTGTCTTTATTTATCCCATGTATGTGAAATTCTATAATCCTGAAGAAATATGGTGAGGGTTATTATTCATAAAGTGGTACGAACTATATTTTTTAAATAATAGAAAAAGAGGTGGGGAGAAGAGAAACCATCTAGGAATTTAATCCTATTTGTTTAAAAAAATGAATGTGAACTCCTAGTTCATACAAGAAAACAAATCTACTCTTTGGAATTTTTTAATTTGTTGGTTTTTTTTCCTGGCTGTGTTAGGCTGTCAGTGGGAACACTGATTGTATCATCACCTGCTTGAGAATTTATAATTACACTGCCAAGTATCCAGGCATGGCTTTTCAGCCAAGCTTTATTCAGAGTGCACACTTGAGCAGTGCAACAGGCCACCACCATTAACTATATCTCTGCAAAGGACACTTTCCTTGTGGTGGTGAGTGTGTAACACCTGAATGTCATCTGCAAATGTTCTCTAAAGGAGTCATCAGGGTGACCCGAAGGGGTAGGGAGAAATCCCAGCCTGTGGAATGGAGCTCTGGAGTAACTCAGCGCTGGGTAGTTCAACTACTCTCCATCACCTGTGGTTAATAAGAATTGCCACACTTTGTTCACCTTAGGAAGAAGATGAATCATACCTGTTCTTTTCAATTGATCTTCATCAAAGGGCTTCACAGGCTATTGATCATTTTTGTCTTTCTCTTTTTAACTCCCTTGAATTTTTTGCAAAAAGCACAACTCAGATTAATTACTAAATAATTTTTTTTTTTAATAACAGCTTTTCCTTTTTGGGGATAGACCCAGAGCTGCATATTGGATCTATAGTTAGTTAGGCTTTGATTTTTTTTTAACTATACTTTGTGAACTTGCTACATGTTTACAAACTGACACGGGGGCAGTTTCATCAGTTTGAGCTGCTAAAACCCAACAGTGTTACTGCTTTGGCACATAAATATATGCAACACAGATGAACATCAAGATCTCAATTAGGGTAGTAGGAGATCTAAATAAAGCAGAGTAGTGATTTCAGCCTGGGTCTCCCACTGAATACAACAGTGTCAATCTCTCTTTACATTTAACACAAATCTTTTTTCCTAAGAAGCTCTTCCCTAAAACTTTTTTCCAAACAGATGTATTTTCTCACACACACTCGAGCGTTAGTTGATAAAGGAATCCCCAACCAGTAATGAATCCCTGCAGGAGATTCTTTTCAGAAATATAAAAGAAACCAGAAAACAGATGCTCTGTGTGAGGCTTTCTTACAGTAACTGCAGTGTTAGCAATCCTTGGACTAACTCACCCTGTTGGACTTCCCATGGTCCTTTTCTACCTGACTAATCCCAGGATTCTTATATTCCGAATTCCATCTCCTTTGCAAAGGGACAGTGTTGCCCTCATATTGGCTACTTTTTCAAGAAGAGCTACGCGGCACTGCCACATTTTTGCCTTCAAGCACCCAGTGGTACCAATGGCCTTGTTTATTGATGTATCTGATGTTTTTGTACAGATGCTACATCAGTTCTTGGACTGACAGATCCCAGACTCTGCTACTTACTGGATGGATTCCTCTTCCTCTACGCAGTCGTCATGACAGCGCTGTTTGTGAAAGCCAAGGTCAGTCTAAGCAAACACAGATGGCTTTGCTGCTGCAAACTAGTCGGGCTGATCTGGAAAGTGGGAGTGGAGAGGAAGCATGTCTCTTAGAATGACACATTTTTATTGTTTTATTTTCTCTCTCCTTTTTTTTTGGTTTTGATTTTTTGTTTTGATTTGGGGTTTTTTGTTTGTTTTGGTTTTTTAACTTTCCTCTGTTTCTGGTGTTCACCTGAGCAACCTGGGGAAGCTCTTTCCAAAAGTTTATGAATGGAGAAGAAGAGCATATGAGAGTGTTCTGATGCTACAGTTATAGATGCCATCAGAGATTCTGGATATTGTACCTTGGAAATGCCTGATCAAGCGTGATGTGGATATTTTCTGCTGCTTTGTCACTGGAAAGGGATATACAGAAAGTTCAGGATAGATGACAAGTTTGTGAAGGATGTATTAAAATGTCTCAATAATTCAGACATCTTTTTGATATATGAGCATGATGATGCAGATGATATAACCCAAACAACCACGGGAGAGGAGTTTGTAATTGCCACAAATGTGATTCTATGCCTAAATATAAACACAGCTAGAGAATTACTTTTAATAAAAATTTAACACGTGATAATAACTCAAGAAAGCTAAAGCAATGCAGAATGTAGTTTGATGGGTTTTTTTAAGAAGACTAGAACACAGATAGCTGCTCTCACTGACCTAAAACTGCCCCTTTTTATGTGAAAGTTTGGCTCAGCAATTGGCTGCCAATAAATATTGTGAGCAGCTGAACCAGAGTAGCTACAGAAGGGAAATCCTTTACCCACTACTTAGTCACCACTCATGCCACCTGACCATGGTGGCACCACAGGTGCTGCTCTTGAGGGGAGCAGTGATTTCCAGCAGGACACCAGGAACTTTACAGGCAGCACTTTTGCTGGAGGACTTGGGTGCTGGGAGTTCTTATGCTCAGCAGCAACCCCAGATACCAGTTTTCCTTAACACAAGCTGAGGCGTGATTTTATAGCCTGGTGGAGCTACTTTGGATAGCACAGGACTGTGGCAGGAACAGAATGGAGATACAAAATCTGAGGAGGAGAGTGCAGGGAACAAACCCGGATGTCTTGACCTGTGAACTGGTGTTATGTGCAGGTAAAATGACTGCTGAGAGCAATCTCATGTGGAGATAAAAGTGCCAGTGCAGCAGTGGCTTGTACTGCCTGTAGCCCCACCAGTGCCACAGGGTTGCCCTGTTTCTGATGAGAGTAACTCATAGGAGAGAGGGAATGAAAGGACTGAAGGGAGCCACTGTCTCTTTGCTCATGGTTTGGTCTCTCTTCCAGCTTAGCCAGGCCTCTGAACCGCAGCTGAGACCAGGCCAGGATGACACGTACAATGTAAGTAACTGCTGGACTTTGTTTCTAAATCTGCTGCCCAGACAGACCTTTTGGGGCACTTATAAAATAGTGAATTGCCTGTGGGTTAGAAAAACTTTGGATGATCCAGCTAATGAGTAGGTTATACATGAGGAAAGATAAAACCTCACAGGGGCAGCTTCTGCTGTCACCAATCTGGCCAGATGGTAGATGGGTATTTGGGCTGTAGGTTCCTGACTTGGAAGAGGACTGAGATAAGATCCTGCCTGTCTTTCCTAACTAAATTGCTCACTCATGGCAGCATTAAACTCTAACTAGTTTTGCCATGTCTAGTTGTCTTCTGATTTTAATTTTTTTTTTCTCAGGCTTTTGGCCATAGCCACATCCTGCTGTGAGTTCTGTTTAACTGTGTAATGTATGAACGCTAATGCAATTTTTTTTCAGTTTAAGTGTAGCCTGTCACCTTTTCAGCAGCACTCTGTCAGCTGTGTTATGCTGACCTGAAATCCCTCCTTTGCCCTGTTCTAAGGTAACTGTTCCCAGCTGAGAATTGTGTTGGCCATAAAATTCCCGCAGCTTCTTGATGCAGATTTAGATGAACTGCTCTGCAAGAAAAACAAAGCTCATGGATCTTCACTCTCCAGTGGCAGAGAAAGCATGAAAGTCAGTCCCTCCTCCTCACACTCTCTTATTTTCAACTCATTTCTACTTAAGAAAGGTTCTTGATGCAACAGCTTGCAGTTTTGTGCTGCACAGACCACTGTTTGTCATTTCCATGGCTTGGTTGTAGATATTTTTGTTGACAGTTGCAATAAGGAGTAAAATTAATTTCTAGCTCAGTTACAATACTTGTGAACCAAGCTGGGTTCCCTTTCTTTCCTGTGTTGAGATCTATTACCTTGTTATCACTTCCATGATAACGAGCTTCTTGCTTTCTTGTTTCAGAAGCTGACTCGTGGGCACCGAGATGACTACGACGTTCTGGGGGGGAAGCGAGGTGCAGACCCTGAGCTGGGCGGGAGACACCAGGTAACCTCCTCCCACACGTGCCCCTTCTTCCCTCTAATCTGGTCCCTTCCATCTCGTGTGTAACCGCGGCTCAGACGCGCAGGCAGGCGCTCCTTTGTGCTTTGCTGAGCACAAGTGCCTTCCTGGAGAGGGAACGACACGATCCGCGTCGTAACTGGGGAGCTGGCAGCGCGGGGGGAGAGGAGTAAACCTCCCCCTGCCCTTTGGTCTCTGCCCCCCCCGTCACTTTGCTGAGAGCTTTTGCAGCCACCCGGGATAGGAAGTGACACCCAGCCCGGGGCGGATGCGGAGCAGGCGAGGCAGCAGTGGGTGTTCCACCAGAGCTCGCTGCATGTGCTGCTGCCAAACAGGCGCCCACAAAGTGGAGCAGCGGCCCAAACAATCCTTTCTGCTGCAGAGCCCATCACTTTCAAAGGAAAACGGAGGGAAAAACCTCCTGCATCGGCGCGTAAGGGCTTGCCCGCAGGTGACAGCGGCAGGGACTGAGCAGAGAAGAACTAAGTTTTACCAATTATTAAAAGGAAGTCAGTTTTCCAGAGAACAAGTTGTCCGAACAGAGCCTTGTGGGGGGAGGCAAAGTGGGCTGTGATGGGCAGGGCAAGTCCACAGAGCCGTAGCTGTGCCACAGAGCAAATGCACAGGCACGTACAAAGCGGAGGGGGATGCTGGTGGTGCAACCTGTGGGCAACATTCTTCTTTTGTTTTACAGCAGAGAAGAAAGAATCCCCAGGAAACTGTCTACAGTGTGAGTAGAGAGCACTGGAGGGGTGGCTGGAAAGAGGAGTTTCTGTTTCATGGGAGACCTTTTCCCCTTCTACCCAATTTCACCTTTGGTTCAAATTTAACAGCTGCTTTCAAAGACTTCTCCTCTTACACTCTTACACAACAAATCCCCCCAAGCCTTTTTTTTTTTCTCGAAAATTTCTGCTCTCTTCTCCGTGATAAGAGAAAAACACTGACTGTCTGGGGAGATGTGGAAAAGAATTTGGATCAAGATACCTGCTGATCCCTTCATGTTAGCCATTAGTGACTAACCGACCTTTATCCCATGTCGTCAGTGCTGCAGTATTTTATGTGCTTGTTCTCCAGCCTCTGTGACTGCTCTCTGGCAAAGGCCAAATGCCAGTGCATCTAGGAGTGGCTGCTTAGGAACCTCTTTAATTGATTTGACTTTAGCTAGACGTGGTGGTCTGTGCTCCAAAGGGTTGATACCTTAATGTTAACGACCATGTCTTAGGTCTTTCTGGGTGTTCTTGCTGAGAAATGAGCTTGTTTCCAAGGCTGGCCTCCATCATTATTGAGTCAGACACTCTGACCACAGCTGGTTTGCAAGTGTTTGGGAACTGCTTCCCTGGATGGAGGAAGAAAGGAAGAGCTCCTTTTTCTTAATCTTCACCCTGCAGTGTTAAGAATTCCCTTTTCTCTGGGCCTGAGCCTCGTGGTCGGGTTTGTCTCCTGAACAAATGCTGCTTAAAGCTTTACTTTGGGGAGCTTTGGTTGTAGTGTCTGGCACTCATCTAGACAAATGACTTGGCTGAGAGTAGAGATATATTCAAGTGTTTGGAGATATTGATATGCTACACAGATTTCATCACATATAGCATCTATTTACATGCACATCAGACAAGTCGCACTGCTGTCCCTTTTTCTCTGGAACAGACTGAATTTTCGAAGGCAAGGCAGCCCCAGAAGTAGAGGCTTGGAGTGGGGTCACCCAGGGGCTGGCTTGGCTTTTCTAGAAACAAGCTGACTCTTTCCCCCTCTCTGCTTGCAGGCACTGCAGAAGGACAAGATGGGTGAGGCCTACAGCGAAATCGGAATGAAGGGAGAGGTGAGTTTTACTTTCCTTCCCGGTGAAATTTTTCCCAGGATGAAAAATCCTTCATTGCTGCCCCCTTACAGAGCAGCAGTCCTGGCTGCATAGGCAGTGTCCTTGTTGCACAGCACTTACAGGCACAGCTGGGAGCTGTTTTCCTGTAGTGACCAGTTCAGTGCAGCAGCAGGACAGACACGTAGCTCTGGTCTTAGAGAAGCCATAAACCCAGGTGGGGATCAGGCAGCTTTGTCCCACTGGCATTACAAACACCAGCAGCGTCCCTGGGCGCGCTGAACAACGTCAGCAGAAAACATTCCAACTTTTGGACAGAAAACTCTGCTGACATGGAATGGGGGACACAGTCTCCTTCCCCCACCTCCCCTCTCAAACATTTAGGAAGGTACACACCAGTGGTATCTCCAGCTACAGCAAATGGACAGGTTTTGCTCTGTGCACAAACTGCTGGGGGAAGGGAGCTTGTGTTGAAAACAAACCATCTGGGGACACTTGTTTATGGCAACATGAAAAATTGCTCTGACCTACAGAGGTTCTATATTATGTCAAAATGTCATATATATATATATAACCTTTCATTTCCTCCTGCAACATGAAAAAAGGGGCATTTCAAAGCAAAGTTTAGTGCTGAGAGATGCTGAAGTAACACTGACATTTAATCCCCTCCCCTTTTATGTTCTGATGCCCCTTTGCCATAGTCAAGCTCTGTTCATGAGCTATGGGTCTATAAAATTGCACTGTGTTTTTATGAATGTTTCTGTTCCTGGAGGGATGAGAACACCAAAACCCGTGTCCCATTCTAGATATATGATCATTTAAGAGGTTGCTGCAATTGTAACTGTAGCAGGCACTACTCCTTGCCACATGTTTTTGATAGTCTAATACTAAATAGTCAGTGTCTATAGGAATGCCTCCAAACCTCTATACATCTGGTAAATCAAAGGAACAGCAGCATTGTAACAGTATGACAGGAAAATATGTCAGCAAACCAAAATAATTTCCTTTTACTTCCAATCCTATTTTTTCCTTTAGAGCCCTTGCAGCATGTCTGTGCTGGTCCAGACTTAGCAGGTGTTCTTTTTGTGAAGAGCAGGTCCAGGCCAAGCACAGCTGCCAACCCTCAGTACAGGATGGGGGAAGTCAGGGGGTTCTTTATTTTTGCATGATAAGAAAAAACACCCATTAATCTATGCTTGTTTTTCTTTCCCAAAGCAGCAGAGGCGGCGAGGCAAAGGCAATGAAGGTCTCTACCAGGTAGGCAACACGTCCAGCAGCTGCTCCCCTCATCTGTCTTCATGGGTTAATTGTAGCCTGTAGTTACATATCCAACTGCACTGTCAACGGGATGTGATGGAACAGAGCTTTCAAAGCATCATTCTGAGGGCAGTTATTGAGATTCAGGGCAAAGACCACACTGATGGCACTTTGATGAAGTGGCTGCACATTCCAAACACACCTGCTGCCCTGGTAGGAACCCTTTCCATGGTCCTACACCTTGGAGAAGCACCTTTTGACTGTGGCAGACGATGCACAGAGTTCTGTCTCCAAACTGTTTATTGCTTAAATGGAAACCTTCAGGTTGCCAAGCAGCTGCTGTAACTCAAGGCATCAGTGGTTCAGGGCCCCTCACTATAGCACAGAGCACAGGCTGCTCAGCACCTCCAGTGCCTTGGTGCACGGGGGGGGGTTCAGTGTTGCACAAACCTGACAAAGGGCAAGGAGTCCCTCAGTGAGGCCTGAGCTGGGTCACCATGCATAACTGTTCCAAAATGCATTTTACTTTCTGTAGAAGCCTGTACATTGCCACTGACATCTCAAAATGACAAAAATACAATACATATAAAAAAGTTCTTCAGGTGCAGCACATGCCAGGGAGCTTTCCTGTAACGTGGTGATTCTGTAGCTAAAGACACCTTTCTTCATGCCCAGCTCTACTGAATATCACAGGAGCCTGATAAGCAGGCTCAGTACACCCAGTGTTCTCAGTACACCACTAAATATTCATAGCAGGGAAGTGAAGGGTAGCTGGAAGTTTTACAAGCAGGCACCAGGTGTCTCACTAGATCCTCTCTGTTGGAAGCCCCAGTTCTCTCTGCTCTGGAAGGCTCCTGGGCTGACCTGCAACTCTGCTACATCTTCTACTGTCTTGCTCTTGGAGCAGCTGTTCCCATTGCTGCCACAGGGATCTGTAACACACAGGTCACAGCTGACTTACCAGAGCAGGCTGACAGGAAAGGGACTCCTGGAGTGGCAGGAGGGGACGTGAGGGGATGCTTCCCGGGGTTCACAGCCATCTGAAGCTCTGCTGCCAACTTACTCACCTAGAGTTACATCTGACTTCCTTTCCAAATCAAAGAGAAGTCCAGAGAACAAAGTTCATGATTTGATGTCTTCATTTTGTTACCCTAGTTCACTCTAGCATCAGTTAGGTCTTAATAATATGCAAATAAAATGCACTCTAAACATCTTCATAACTAGTTAGGATGAGCTGCTGTAGTCATATGTTCATAACAGTCATTCAGAATGTACCTTGCCTTCAGGTTAAGTGATAGGTAGCAATTGGCACTGTACAAAATTTGTGGAATCACTCATTTTCTCTGTAGGGGAAAAAAAAAATTAGAATTATGCTACAGAGCCCCTGCTGCCCTGTGGCTGGCCAGTCAGCACTGAGGCAAATTTTAGGGAGAACTCGTCCCTCACCTGTTTTTCTCTTTTTCAGGGACTCAGTGCAGCCACCAAGGACACTTATGATGCTCTTCAAATGCAGGCTTTGCCCCCCCGCTAAGTGGGAGTCACAGAGGGGATGGGCAAGAAGGAGAGATGCCCACAGGCTCTGGGGGGAGAGGAGGAGAAGCCTTTTTCATCCAACACAAGCACTGCGTGTTTTCTCCGTGCAATGACCTGCTTTGGTTGGTGCACAGAGGGAGCGTGTCTGGAGTTGTCCAGTCCCTTCTCCCTTTCCTCCTGAATCATGCAACTGCAAGCTTTTGCTATTAAAATGTACATATCTGTAAAGTTGTTTCCAGTAATAGTGGTTATTAGGCTGATTGTCTTTTTTTTTTTTTTGGTAAGGTTTGTGTTGTGGGACCGGACCACACCTTCTAACAAACACAGCTGTTTTCACAGCTCTTCCTTGCCTTGCAGGGGTACCATGACATGTAACTATTGTTTCATTGCATTTAAACAACTTGTAAAGATAGGGCTGTAGTTATTTCCTGTGCTATTTATCTTAAGACTGACACTCTTTGCTTTAAATTTGCCTTTAAAAAACTGCTTCAGTTTTTAAAAAATTGCTCCAGATTACTTGTTTTTCTTTAATTGTAAAAAGTCACATGATGTTAGTGTAGTGCAGGACAGAGGCTGACTGGCAACATTTCAACATGAAGAAAATGAGCACCAAGCTCCCAGAAAAGATCAAGCAATGGCACTGCCACTCAGCCAGCACTTGGAGCTAAATATGAGCCAGGTAATCTGCACGAGAGACTTCTCAAAAGGCAGAAGATGATAACCCTGTTACAACGAAAACAAGGAGAATGGACTCCCATTATCACTTCTGGGTAACAGAAACTGTATAAAAGCCAACGTAAATCCAGGTTCCAAACCAGTCTATCATCAGGTTACCTCTAAAAGATGCAGCTGTGATTCCAAAGAGGTTCTAGGTCAATAATGTAATGTGCTTTTGATGAATTAATAAAGGCAGTGGCAGCCCTGTGGGTGCAAGGAACAGCTGTGAGAACGGCCTGAACTCGTGACCTGCCACGTTCAGCCTGGCTGAACTGACCTGCACCCAGCAGCATCATCTCCCAGGGAGGCTGAAGAGGACAATATTCCAACAGGAGCTTCTAAACACGTCCTGAGCAGTGAGATGGGGTTTTGGAAAAAAGCACTCAAGGGGCACTCACTTCCTGCTGCTGCAGCCTCAGTTTTGCCTGTGACTTCAAAGGCTGCACAATGACACCTGCAAGAACTCAGCCAAGGACAAAACCAGCCCAGCAAAATAAAGCCTGTTTTACCTCGGGTCAGGAGCTGACCAGCTCATTTTGTCAGCCTTCACAGAAGAAGCAGAGCTAAAGCAAGACTGTGGGAACAAAAGTTCTGCCCGGATGAAGTCACGTCTTCTTCTCAGGGACTGGGTGGGTTAGCAGCAGAAAAACTTGTTGAAGTTGCTGCTGTGCAAGTGAGAAGGTTGTTTTACATCTTCAGCAGTAAAACTGTACCTGCAGTAGGTGCTTGTAGCTTTTAAAGAATATTTCCAATAAATTAGAGCAAAAAAAAAGTAAACTGAGAGATGGTAATGAATATTTCTTGGGGGGGGAAAAATTCCTAGATCCCTTACTGTTCTTCTGCAATGACAAGAAAAATCTGAGAGAAGTGGGTGATACCTCAGCCAGCTGACCTGAAAATTACAGTAAAGTTACTACTACAAAACACCAGTGCAAGAACAAACAGTACTGAAAACAGCTTTTTCTTTTTAAATAATCACAACCATATCTGCAAGATGTAGAAATCACAGGTTTTGGCAGCCATAAAATACCAATGACTAAACAATAGGAATGAAATTCTCTAGGAAAAAAAAATCATCTTTATGCTCTTTATATATATATAAATGGGTATCTTGACTCAAAAGCATCCAACACTTGTTTCAGGGACACTCGCCGTAGGTGTGAGCTGAGTCTCCTCTTTGCCTTCAGGAAGCAACTGGAGATGTTTCTGCTTTTAGGAGAGGAGCTGATAAATAGAGAAGTAGAAGAAAAGCTTCAAGCAGAGTGCAAAAAACCTGTTCTGTCTCCTCCAGTTTGAGACAAAGGGCACGAAGGACCAATCTTCTGGCCCACTTTGATCCATGGGGGGAAGAGGAATCAACCTCCCCCAACACATTCAAAAACTACAAACAAGTGCATACATGTTAAAACACTTGGAAAATGGTTTAATGATGTTTACAACAGAAATTAACTGTACAATTACAGTAAGTTTAATATATATAAAAAATTACAGCAGACAAATGCATCTACACAAAATCTACCTTTTCATTCTGATTTACTGTAATCTACACAATCTCTCAATGCCTACAGCTATCTGTAGGCAACCACTGGGAAAATAATAATAATAATATAATAATAATAATAATAATAATTATAAAGGACATCTTTAAAGAGACAGCATTTCGCCTTCCTCCTCACCCTTAGTGTGATCAGCAAGGTTTTGAAATGTGTGGGACTCTCACATTTCAGTCTCAAGAAAAGCTTGGGTTGGGTTTGGGTAGGGTACTCCCATATGGCCCTTGATTTCAAGTGTTCTGCTGACCTCAAGTGTATATAAACGCAGTGTATGAGGAAGGGCAAGAGAAAAAAAAAACCTCCCAGCCAGTGTAAGCAGGCAGCTGCACAGAGCAGTGAAACCATTAGGACCGAAAACTTGCCTTATTTAGGGGGAAAAAAAGCAAAAAGGGACTGCCCAGATGCTCCAGACATTCACAAATCCTCACCTCTTTGGAAACTATAACCGGATTTAGAAGAAAGGGCTTGGTTTTCTACTCTCAATTCTTCATACAAAGGGGTATTTTTCAAACTAACATGTTAAATATTTTTTTTTGATAAAATTTAAGCAACTTCCTCTTTGGCCCATCTCTTAAAAACAGTGAAAACCCCTTTATACTGAGAAAGAACCTCAGGTAAATGGGGGAAAAAAAAAGAACATGCTGTCTCTTTAAAAACAAAGAAAGAATCCCAGTTGGGAGCGGCCATCAGTGAAAATGCAATCCAAATTGGCGGTCTGGTGGAAATTCCTCATGGAATATTATGTACAGTTTAAAAACCCTTTGCAGTTGGTTTTTTTCTTTTTATTATTTATGAACACCTAGGCAGTGAAAACTGTTATGTTAATACATACATAGACACACCCAAAACATACAAAAATACTATTATTTCAAACTACTAAGAATAGGACAAGTTCAGTTATCTCCATGCTATGACTTTAAGAGCATTACACTGAAACAAACAAGAATTTAAACGACAATTTTTTAATATCCCAGAAATATACCAAAATATACATCTAAGCTTTGGAATTACTGAGGTTAGACTAATGCAAGTGCTGGGTAATCGTACTTAATACACAAGTCTAAGGTTCTGCAGGAAAGAAATTATCTTTGGTATCTGCATCAGGCTAATAATATTAACATTTGGATTTTGCTTTGGGATAGAGCTTGTATGACCCTAGAACCAAACACCCCCCAATCAACTGAGATTAAAAAGATCCATGTAAAAAGTTCCTCCATTTGCAATCCCCCCCCCAAAAGTTAAAAAGTCACAGGCATCTACCTAGCATAAAAGGTTGAGAAATACAATGCATAGTTGCACAGTGGTGCTGCAAAAATAAAAAGAAATCTAGAAAAAAGGAACTAGAGGAGAAATGAAAAGCTGCTTCTTCTTCTTTCAGGGATTTCTCACAACAGGACAGCCTCTTCCAAGCAGTGAAGGGGGGGGAAGCTCAGAAGTGCACCTCAGCGTGTATTAATCAACATCACCCAGCCCCCAGAGGGTTAAAGCACCCAGCAGAGCAGCCAATCCTGCACCCAAGTCTTCAGCTCCTCAACCCACCTGCGAAGCCCCCCCCGGGCTGCCCCCTCCCAGCGCCTGCGCCCCAGATTTCACCCTGGAGCAGGGAATTTCTTCCTGGGGTGTTTCGGAGCCCCGGGCTGGCAGAGACCCTTGCCCTGGCCAGACCGGCCTCACAGATGGGCTTGGTGCTGAAGACGCCCTTTGTCTTTGGTTTGTTTGTTTGTTTTGAGTTTATACAATCATTAGGAAATCTTTGGTTTTGGCTGGAAATTTTAAAAGAACAAAACAAAACAAAGAAACCGCCCCCTCCCGACTTATAGCAGCCACCGTGACCTGACAAAGCTTCTCTTTCCCATGGGGGTAGGGGAACTACATTCAAATAAAGATGGACCGGGTTAAGGATGCAGCTTCTGGCCAGGTTGAGGAGTGGGGGAAGGGATACAGGATTGTCAAATAATAAAGAAGAAAATTAAATATTTGGAGATTTCTATTTTTTTTCCTTTGTTTTTTTTTTTTTTTTTTGGTCATGTTAAAAAGTGAGTAGCATGTACGCAGCACTGGGCTGAGAGTGCCTCCGGGCCCTGGAATTCAGTGTGGCCCCGGGGTGGGAAAAGGCAGCGCGGGCGGCCCTTTTCCACGGAGAGTGGAGGGGAGGGGGTGGATATTCACAGACTAATCAAGAGGACCCCTTGTAACCAAAGGAAATAAGATAAGATTGCAATTTGCCCTCACTTTGCAGTAGCTTTTAAGCAGCGACATTCAGAGGCGTTAGGGGGTCACCTCCCCAGGTTGCAGGTCACGGGGTGCTATAGGCCAGAGTTCAGTGTTAATCAAAGGAGGGAGGGCAGACTTGGCAACTCTGTGGGGTTTGGAGAAAGTTAAAGCAAGTTACTCAGTTACGAGTTAGAAATGAGGTATACGACAGCTCCTGTACCTGTGGCGGATAAACACCCCACACCTACTCACACCTAGCCTTAGACACTACCACAGAGGAAGGAAATGGAACAACAGCACTGGCGGGGACGCAGAAGCTACTGCCCAGGTCCTTCCCACGGACCGCTGGCACACGAGGCGCCCCAGGGGCCCAGTGCTGCTCCAGCCCTTGCCAAGCCACCCGTGGGCGGCCCTGCAGCGGTCCCTTCCCTTCCCCGGCTTGCAGGGAGGCGCAGTCCGGCTCCCCGGGAACTCGCGGGGAGCGGCCCTGATCTCCAAGTCTTTCGCTTTGCGTTTCCCCCTCGGACTCGCTCAGGTGCAGGGAGCACCGGGGTCACAGAGGCCGACACACGGAGAGTGAATGGGGGAAGAACTAAAGGTTTTGTCTCAACTGCCTTGTTCTCAGGACACTGTCACGGGTGCTCTCGTTCCTAAATTGTTTCCCAAGGGGGTTGTGCGATCTCCACGATTTGCCCCTTGGCGTGCCATTCCCGAGGTCTCAGGACTCCTACTGTTCAATAATTTCAGGTTTTTAAAGCACCGCAACGTGCCGGCTTTGAACGCACACAGAGTTACGACATTCAGGGAATGGGGCTTCAGTAGCTGCTGCTACAAAATTCAGCAAAGGCAGTGTGAATCCTGAAGTGGGGCCTACAACAGATAAGACAATTTTGGGAGGAAAGGGGAAACTAACATGATAAATTAAGTATCTTACGGTATTATGTAAAGCTCTGCCGGAGAATATTCACCAGCAGACCGACACAGATTTAAGACAGATCAGCATTTTGGTCTGAGCTACTTGACAATGTCCTGTTTGGTAGAGAGATGAAATAAGGCAGAGGGGGTATTGTTCCAGTTCTGGGGCTGAGCCTCAGCAGCACTAAGGAACGCCAAAGGGTATCATCTTCCCTCGCCTCCCACAAGCTGTTTCATTTCCTTCCTCAGATTTGTTTTCCATAAAGCACACCTTGTTTTCCACTTCTTTTGTTCCAAGTGCTCTTTTCTTTGAGAAGTCATTTCTTCAATATCCCTATTACCTATCTATAAATCTAACTAGCTCTTTGAAAAGTCACACAATATTAATACCACTTTTACATAATGTCAGAACAACAATTCTATTAGTAAAGCTTTCAGTGAAGTTCTGCAACCCGATTGGCATCCGGAGGAAGAGTAGCTGGACAACCCGCCTCTCCCCCTTCCTCCCTCCCTTTCTTCACAAGAGCTCACCAAGTTCACTGATAAAACAGCTCAGCCCAATAGCACAATACATGAACATGTACAAGGCTGCTTTGGGGAGCAAAGAAAGGAGTCTTCAAGGTCCCCCCCTTAAGAGAAAGACCATATGCAAAAGCTGTTGAACAGACTCTGACCTTGGACTACACTGCTTCCACATTTGAAGGAAAGAAACAGTTTTCCCTGACTGTATCCCAACATCAGCCTAAGACCTGCAGCACTGGGCAAACCCCACATACTGTTTGTCTTCACAGAGCCAAAGCAACTCTGCGCAGAAAAGGTGGGAGTACCCGAAAGAGATGAGGTCCTTAGAGAAAGGGACACTGACCCAAAGCTCAAAAAACCCCCACCCAGCTTCTCCTCTTACCCGCTCTGAGAACAGCAGAGCTGACAACTTATCAGTGCCTTTGGTTCCCTACGAGGCCACTGGGAATTCTCCCGCCCCAGTGGAGTTGAGCTCCTTTAGAAACCCACCTCTCTGGATCACCGCACACAGCCAGGCGCACACACGCACTCGCACACACACCCACACACACCCCTCCCCTCTTCCCCT